AGGATGAGCGGAGGAGGAGGAGGAGGAGGAGGAGGAGGAGGAGGAGGAGAGGAGGAGGAGGAGGAGGAGAGGGGGAGGGGGAGGAGGAGGAGGAGGAGGAGGAGAGGAGGAGGAGGAGGAGGAGGAGGAGGAGGAGGAGGAGGAGGAGGAGGAGGAGGAGGAGGAGGAGGAGGAGGAGGAGGAGGAGGAGGAGGAGGAGGAGGAGGAGGAGGAGGAGGAGAAGGAGGAGGAGGAGGAGGGTCCGTAGCCATTTTGGCTCAAGTTGGAACCTCGGAGCTCTGGGGGCTTCAACTTGTTCGCAGCCGAGGGGCAGGCCCAAAGTCCCCTTTTTCAGGCTGCCACGCACGCTCCTGCTGTAAGTCGGTTTGGCCACTACGCCACAAGCATGTCGAGTCATGTCCCTTCTCCCGAGGAGCTGGAGCATGAGAGGAAGTGGATGGCGGAGTTGCTGGAAGCTGCCCCCACCTTCCCGTCTCAAGAGCACGGAATGCGACAAGGACTGGATGCAGGAGCCAGCGCCCCTCAGCGAGCCCGAATCGCACAGCCCGCCGACCAATCCGACATTGCCGACCTGCGCCAGCACATCAACGACACAAAACAGGAGTTCATGGGAGCCCTGGCCAAGATCGAGGAGTCGATGGGTGCGTTGTCCAAGTCAATCAAGCGCGGCTGGGAATCGATGGACCACAAGCTTGAGAGCCGCCTCACCGCCTTCGATGCACGGCAGTCCGCACAGGAAGCTAGGATCGACGTCATGGAGGCACAAATTCGTACCTTACAGGCAGCTCTTGGTGTTGTTAAGCCTGACAAGCCTGTGCCTCCCCCCGCAAACATCAATTTCGACAGAGAGATCGATCACTCCATCCTCATCTTCAGGACCAAGCTCTCTTCGACCCAGTCCGACGTGTTCGCCAGCCTGCAGGGTTGGCTCCAGCGCGCCAATCTGGACCCCTCGGAGTTTGAGATGGAGTCTGAGCCGACCACCACCAAGCACATCATGCGAATTAAGGGCAGTAGACCCTATGGCGCGCGGAAGGTCCAACAAGCGTTGGGGGCTCTCCGCAAAGCTAACAATGAATGGGAGTGGTTCTCAGTACTCAGCGCAGGCAGTCAGCAGCAGCAGGAGATCTTCATATCCCCAGATAAGAACCAGGCCCAGGTCAAACGTGAGTTGGGAGTCAAATGTGCACGGCGCGAATTGGAACGATTGTGTCCTCATCAGAAGTTTTTCAGTGACAAGCTCAAAGGAGAAGTGTCATGCCAGTGGAGGCCACTGGTGCGCATCGACCCTCGTGCTGAGCAAGAGCCCGCCATCTCCTTCTCGAATGAGAACCTGGCGTTCTTCGGCATTTCCAAGCCGGCGCTCTGTGAGGCCATCAAGGCGAACTACAATCAGACGGAGGGCACCACGTGGAGTATTTAGCCCGCTGTTTGGTGTTTGGCATGATAAGTCTGGTCGTAGCATGCCCCTGCGACTTGCGACATGGAACGCCAGGGCACTTTTTCACTTCAAGGTCGCCTGCAAGTCAATCAAGTTGCGCAAGGTCCGCTCTTTATGGCGACCTGGCACATTCGTTGCGCTGCAGGAGACGCACGGCACCCGAGCGGA